AAGATCCTTGAAAAAAATTGTGTATGCGAGATTGACAGACTTCCTTGAGTCCAACTCTCTGCTAGACCCGCTTCAGTCTGGTTTCCGCGCTAAGCACTCCGTGGAAACGGCACTGACCAAAGTATTCAATGATCTACTCACTGCAAAATCTCGTGGTCACTACTCTATCCTAATTCTCCTTGACCTGTCTGCGGCTTTTGACACTGTTGATCATCAACAGCTTCTTCTCATCCTCCGCAATATCGGTCTACAAGATATTGCTCTCTCCTGGTGCTCCTCCTACCTCTTCCAGCGCTCTTGCATTTTTTCTTTCTCTGGCTCTGCTTCTTCTCCCCAACTCCTCTCTGTTGGTGTCCCCCAAGGTTCAGTCCTTGGTCACCTACTGTTCTCCATCTATACTGCCTCCCTTGGTAAACTCATTAGCTCCTTTGGCTTCCAATATAATTTCTATGCAGATGACACGGAAATCTACCTGTCCTCTCCTGATCTCTCCCCGTCCCTCTTGACTATTGTCTCTGACTGTCTCTCTCTTGTTTCTAACTGGATGGCTGCCCACTTCCTTAAACTAAACTTGACCAAAACTGAAATTCTGGTCTTTCCTCCCTCAAGTGTTGTTACTCCTGTGTCTCCCTCCCTCCAAGTCAACGGTGCTACCATCAGCATAACCACACATGCTCGCTGCTTAGGTGTTCTCTTTGACTCCAACCTCTCCTTCAAGCCTCATGTTCAATCTATCACCAGATCCTGTCATTTCCATCTCAAAAACATTGCGCGCATCCACCCCTACTTAACGCCAGATGCGACTAAGGTGTTGGTCCATTCCACTGTCCTTTCTCGCCCTGACTACTGTAATCCGCTTCTCAGTGGTTTTACGTGCTCCCAACTTGTGCCGTTACAGTCCATTATGAATGCGGGGGCGAGGCTCATCTTCCTGTCCGCCCGCACCTCCCATACCTCACCCTTCTGTCAGTCCCTACATTGGCTTCCTCTATAAAATTGGCTTCCTCTATAAAATATAGAGCTCAATTTAAAATTCTGGTTCTTGCCTTCAAATCTCTACATAATGCTGCTCCCACCTATCTATCCTCCCTTATACACAAGTATGTCCCGTCTAGGCCTTTACGATCTGCTGAAGACTTACGTCTATCTTCTGTCCGTACTCCCACCTCTGATGCTCGCCTTCAAGATTTCTCGAGGGCTGCACCGTTCCTGTGGAACTCGCTTCCCTCCTCCGTTAGATGCTCACCCAGTCTCCATTCCTTCAAAAATCGCTAAAAACCCACTTCTTCATAAAAGCGTATCCATTAAACTGTTAATAGCTCCTGACTGATTCCTCTTCTGCAACTGTCATTAGTCTAATACTATCCTTACCTTTTTGTGTCATTTTACCCCACTCCCTCTAGCATGTAAGCTCATTGAGCAGGGCCCTCAACCCCTCTGTTCCTGTGTGTTCAACTTGTCTGGTTACAACTACATGTCTGTTCGTCCACCCATTGTAAAGCGCTGTGGAATTTGACGGCGCTCTATAAATATCATAATGATAATAATATTGATTAATATATATATATATATATAATTTACATTTTATATATATATATATATATATATATATTTATATATAATATAAAATAAATATGTAAATACATTAAAAATAAAATAAAAAAATAAAAAATAAATAAAATATATATACCGTATTATAAGCCGAGTTTTTCGGCACATTTTTTGTGCTGAAAAAGCCCCACTCAGCTTATACACGAGTCAAGATCTGTATTATGGGGGGTACTGGGGGGGGCCGGCAGTGAGCAGTTACTTACCTTTGTAGCAGCTCTGGTCAGCTCCGTTCAGCTCCGTTCACCTCCCCTATTCTGCTCACAGTGTAAGTCTTGCGAGACCCGTGGCCGTCAGAGCATTGCCACGGTAACCCGCGCGGCACGCAGACCGCGAGACTTACACTGTGAGCTGAACAGGGGAGGTAAACGGAGCTGGAAGTGTAATAATTTTACATAATTAGTTCATTTTATTAATTACAATTTGCGGGACCTGCCTGACAACCCAGGCTGAAAGTCCAGAGAATTTAATTTGCTAGCACTATATTTAACCCTGTAACTTTCCAAGACACCATAAAACCTGTACATGGGGGGTACTGTTTTACTCGGTAGATTTCGCGAACACAAATATTAGTTTTTCAAAACAGTAAAATGTATTACGACGATGATAAAACCTGAACATGAGGGGTACTGTTATACTCGGGAGACTTTGCTGAACACAAATATTAGTGTTTCAAAACTGGAAAACGTATCACAACAATTATATTGTTTGTGTAAGTGCCATTTGTGTGTGAAAAATGCAAAAAATTTCACTTTCACTGATGATATCATTGTTGTAATACATTTTACTGTTTTGAAACACTAATATTTGTGTTCAGCGAAGTCTTCCGAGTAAAACAGTACCTCCCATGTACAGGTTTTATGGTGTCTTGGAAAGTTACAGGGTTAAATATAGTGCTTGCCAATTAAATTCTCTGGACTTTCGGCCTGGGTTGTCAGGCAGGTCCCGCAAATTGTAATTAATAAAATGACCTAATTATGTAAAATGATTACATACATTTATACGTAGAATTATTATATATATAAAATAAACAACTATACCTTGCACTCAGACGCCAACTCCCAAGACCGAGTGCACTACCAGGGCTCCAAATATCCAAATGGCTATAATAGAAGGCTGCACTCACGGATTCCATAAAATATAACTCTTAATCAGTCTTGTTAAAAAAATCAATCAACGTTTCAGTCCTACTTGAGGACTTTCATCAGGATTATACAGATAATGTGCAAAAATATATATATATATTTCCCTTTGCACATTATCTGTATAATCCTGATGAAAGTCCTCAAGTAGGACTGAAACGTTGATTGATTTTTTTAACAAGACTGATTAAAAGTTATATTTTATGGAATCCGTGAGTGCAGCCTTCTATTATAGCCATTTATATATATATATACACACACACACTTTTTTAAAATTATTTTTATTTATATATAGGTTTATATATAGTGATATATACGTATATATTTATGTATGTATATAGATATATATATTATTTAGTTCTACGTGTATTTTGATATAAATATATATATTAATTTTAAAATACAGTAAGAACGAAATTACACTTATTTTTTTTTTACATATTTATTTATTTTATATTAAAATATATATATATATATATATATATATATATATATTAATATTAATATTAAAATACACTTAGACAGTGTATGTGTATTTATGTGCATGTGTGTTGTGGCAGTGTGAGGGAACACCGCTATATTAGCCCCAGGATGGCACTTTCAGTGTTCCCTAACTAGAGGGGGTTAAAATACAGGTTGCTCTAGTCCATCAATTAGGAAGTTACATAAACCCTATGCAGAGGGAAATCAGTCTCTCCTGTGAAGAGCTGGGGCAGAGACAGAGAGACAGAGAGTCAAAGAGACTGCTGAAACTGTGTGGGAACAAAAAGGTATTTTTCAAGCTTTTATTTTTATTTGTTAACCCCGTAAGGACCAAACTTCTGGAATAAAAGGGAATCATGACATGTCACACGTCATGTGTCCTTAAGGGGTTAAACTACTGAGGTCAGCTTAGCTTCCCAGTATCATAGAAAGGGTACTTTATGTTCGTTAGTGTCCAGTGTGGACTAGGAATTTATTTTGGTTTAATGTTTTGCTGTGGCTAAATTGGGGCCGGCTTGCTAAATAAAGCTTTCCTCATATTGGAAGAAAGAACTGTTTCTGTTGTTTATGACCCAAGACCCGGCCAGCCTGCTTCAAGTGGTGTCAGAAGTGGGATGTTTGTGTACTGAAAACCTTACCAGTACAGACCCTGAGGAAATATAAAGCCATATAGCATGAAAGTGATATTGCTGCAATGGTGGACTTATTAAAAAGCTTATTACAAGCTACTGCTGTGCAGCAAGAAACCAATCGAGCCCTGCAAGAAAGCAACCGCTTGCTGGAAGCACCGCTAACTGCAGTGGTAGAGGGACAACATGCTGACCATTGTATACTTAAAGAGATAGTACACAGTCTCTCAAAACCTGACAAAGAAGAGCCCAGCGGTTTCTCAAAGTCTCTCAAGGCAAAACAGTATATACAAAAGAGGACTCCCCATGATGATGTGGAAGCTAACCTCCTTGCTTTTGAGAGGACTGCAGCCAGGGAACAGTGGCTCAGGAGAAAATGGGCTGGTATCCTTGCACCCTTCCTTCTGGGAGAGGCATATACTGATCTGGGGGAAGAGGCTGCCAATGACTATGACTGTCTTAAGGCTGATATTCTAGCCAGAATTGGTATACACCTGCAGGGTCCAAAAGATATCACAGTTGGACATATTAAGATCAAAAGGCCCCAAAAACCCAACTGTTTGACCTTATACATTTGGTGAATAAATGGCTTACACCAGAAAGCTCTACACCAGCACAGATAATTGAGACCCTGGTCCTGGACAAATTTCTGCAAGCTTTACCACTTGGTTTACTCCAGTAGATGGGACAGGGCCATCCTACCACCTATGATGAAATGGTGACCATAGTAGAAAGCTATATAGCTGTAACAACACTAAAGGCTCCACCTCAGGCCAGAAGTTGAAGGTACCCCATCCCCCAAAGACATGGAGGTTGGATCAATCACCACAGTCTGGAAATGGAACTTTGCATCCCGATGAACTCAGACATAGCTTCAAGGAATCCCAGACTCACAAAGACCTGCAGCATCACCCTGTTCCCATAATCTGCTTTGAGTGTTGGCAGCCTGGACATATAAAGGCTCATTGTCCACAACTACAGGGACCACTGGAAGGTGGAAATGCTACTACCTACAAGAATTTTTGTGGGCTTGGGTGTTTAGTAGGAGTTTCAGGAGAAACCAGTGGTTTTCATATACAGGTTATCCTAAATGGGAAAGTTGAAGAGGCGATGCGTGCATGCATCACTTCTGGTCGTACGTGCCAAGATGGCGGCGCTGTTAGAAGACAGGGAGCTGCAGGGAATCAGACATCGTTTCCAGCTGCAGGCGGAGGCTCTGCTCCGGGAGACAAGGAGCAGGGAGCCCGTAGATATTTATGATGATGAAAAGAAAAAGTAGAAGCCACTCCCCAGACTCAATTTTCATTCTGTGTTCTGGATATTGGCAGCTGCTTTACTCACGTACTATGTTGATTTTGTTTAAGATACTTTGCAAGAAGGCTGTTGGTGGTTTTAGACTGGGACTTTTACGCTAGCTGCCAGTTTATCCATTGCATTGTATTGCATTGTTTATCTGGAATGGCATTGTGGGTTCAGTGATTACGAGACAAGGTATCCTGCATTAGTTCCCATCGCGATAACTACTTTTATAGCCAAAGCGAACTGCTACAATGTTTCCCTATGGTCAACCTGGTCATTTTCTACTCCGTTGTTACATTTTACTCAATTTATGGGAGTTATGATGCTGGTTTCTCTACCTGGTTGAACCCATGAAGTTACTTAAGTACTGATGAAGACGTGGAGTGGAGATGCAGTATGCTTTATGTTAAGCTTTTCTATCACAGAAACATACTTAGCATGGCATGAAAAAGACTAGAATTTTGTGAATTACCTAACGCAATAAAAATCTACATCATTTAGTTTTTTTGAGGTGCATATATCTTGTGTACTTAACACAGGTGATTATTCTCAGAGTCGTAGATGGACCAGATATCATCCTTGGAACATGCTGCAGGAGAAACACATATTTATGTATCCAAAAGGTTAAAAAGTAAATTGATAGTTATTTCTACTACTATGCACCTATTTGTTTTTGAGATTCTATCTTGATGTATTGTTGAATTTAGTGT